CTTTTCCTTCATGCTACCTATCTATTCTGGCTAAGATAATGTTTATATAATAGACATTGTATTCCTTCTTCAAGGGTGAATTTCATAGACTATTACAGGTATAGAACCAGACAACTATAAAATTACAGCCTTTTGAGTACAATAACTAATGTGGTTTTATCATTATATTTATAAAAGAGGAAAAATAATTAAGTTTTTGTATGTTCTTACAATATTTTTAGTTATTTTCTTTCTTTCTTTCTTTTTTGTAAATTTCATTTGAGTTTTCACAAAGAGAAAAAAAATACAAATAAAACATCTTTTTTTGAAAGCAGCATAATCCTGGGTTACATTTCTTCGTACAGACACAAATTCAGGTTCATGCTCATTTTTATATTCTATTCCATATCTTATTGCAATTTTACATTTTCTACATAGCTTTTCCCCTCTTTTAATTTTCTCAATTTTATTTTAATTATCTCATCTCAATTCAAATCATTGTATTTATAGTTTTTGTCTGTCCTGTTTCAATTATCTATTATCTTTTCTCATTAAACAAAATTTCTCCTGTAGTTACTGATTGGAGTATGACACCTTTATATCTTTTCCCTAAAGTTGTAACATTCAATATAATACATAACTTCCATTCGGATTCTGCTTGGTACATTCTTAAAATACACACTGTACTCTTAAAAAAAGAAAAAAATTATAAATGTATATAATTAAAACAACATTCCATTCCAAGTCAATTCTATCATTAATATTAATATTCCCTTTCTAATTCAATTTTCTCATTTATTTTGTTTCACTTATTTTATTCACAAACATTTCACTAAATTACACTATTTTATCCCTCATTTTAATCATACGTTGTTTCCAATTTTCTAAAGTTATTTTTATTACTAATATAACAATACAATCTTATGTACCTTTACAGAATCCCCTTTTCAGTTAGATTTTTACCCATTATCTCTAAATAGGTCCTGTTTCTCTATATCTTGCTCTGGTCCTTTGTAACTTCTTTTCCTTTCCTTCTTCCCTCTCTTCTTCTCTCTCCCCCTTTTATCCCCTTGTCTCTCTACCTCTATTTTTCTCTTCTGTATTCCCCTCTTCTGTTGCTTTCCAGTATTATACTTATTTTTGGAATTATTTTTCTTTTCTTTGGTTGTTTTTTTAAGTGTTAAATTCTCCATTCTCTTCCCCCCCTTTCCTTTTTCTTCCCCACATAAAATTACTTGTTCATTAAAGATGGCTTCTTCTTTATCCCAGTCTTCTTGTTTTGCAGTCTTTTCTTGTTGTTTCTCATAGTTCCAAATCTCCATTTCTAAAAATTGAAAAATGAAGCCAAAAGAACCCTCCCTTCTTGTGCATCTTCTTTGTACTTTTTAAGTTCCATTTTCAATTCATCCAGAAGTGGTGCCATTGTATAAATTTTTAAACAACCACCCGATTGATTTTAGTCATTCAAATATAATAACCAAAAATCCAAAGATCACCAAATAATCCAAATACACCTGAGCTATTTCTTTTTTGCTCTTTTTTTTTCACTTTCTCTTCCTGAGGTTACTATTTAGTTGCAAAGTTTCAGTTAAAATATATCTTTTAGAAGTCTTGTTGAAGTTTTACTTTAGATTCTTTTTAATTTCAGGCAGTCTCCTCCCTCTTCCAGATCCTGCCCTTATTCTTTTTCACTCCCTTCCTGCTTATGAAAAAGAAATTTTTTAATGTCCAGAAATCTTTATTGTCCTTTGCCATTTTGTTTTATTTTCAGCTTAATTGCCTATTGATGTCAAAGCAGATTTTTCCAATTTCTTATTTAAGTCTCTTAGGTGTCAGTATAGGGAAAGTGAGAGAAGAAAAAAAAAGCCAAACCTTTCCCTTTTCACTTTCCTTCGTTGCTTCAGACTCTTCTTTGGGACCGATGTTATTTTTTGTAAGTTTAAATTCCAGGGTACCTTGGTTGTTGCTTTTACAATTTAACCCGATCAGCCAAAACTTTCACTTCTTATCTTCCTCCTGCACATTTTTATCACATGCTTAGCAAAGAATAAAAATAGCTGCAGGCAAATTCAGTTTTTATTTTCACTGTCACTCTGGAAGGCTTGTCTCCTAGACAATATTGCAGAAAAAAAGCTGAAAAATCGTTGTCTCTTTTATCTGGAAACTAACTCTTTTTAAAATGGTAAATTCTGCGTAACAGGCCGCTGAAAAGTGAGCATTGACAAGTATTAATTAAGAACTTAATCTTTGAATAAATAAAAAGCAGTGAACACAATTAAATCTGTTCGTGAAATATAGCAGAACATTTGGCTTTAATGAGAAAATGCACTCCGCACTCTAGACCGATGGGAATTCCATTGCAGTGTGTGTTGTAAACATTTCTCCTTTCTCCTTGACAGGTAATATTTGAGGCTGAAGTCTCAGATGGAAGAAATGGCTACATTGCCATTGATGACATCCAGGTTCTGAGCTACCCTTGTGGTAAGTAATGATTAAGAGGCACACTTTTCTCTGTCTTTTCTAAGTGAGGCTCAATATTGTCAGACTAGTGTTTTCATTACTCAGCCATTGGTGTCTTGCTGCTACCACTGTTTTTCTATCTTTTTCTTTTCTAACATGTTAGAAAAAAATGATAATGTTAAAGTCATACATGTTATTCTGTTATCACATAATTATTTCAATTCAGTGGTTCTCTCTCACTCTTAATGGATTGTAATTAAAGTGAAATAAAGGGTATCTAATAGTTTTATTATGAGCTGGATTTTTTAATTCATTTTACTCCCAATAATAAAAGCAGGTAACAACAATTGATAAATCCTATTTTAAAAATGTATTATAACAGTTCTGAAAAATGTCTGGTTTTGGATATGGGTAGCTATCTCTCTACTGATAGGTCTTGCAGTTTTTTTATTTGGGGTCATGTCTTTGGAAATTCGTGTGACAGAAGATAGAGACAGATAATGAATAATCAGAGTTGGAAGGGACCTTGTAGGTCATCTAGTCCAACCCCCCGCCCAAGCGGGAGACCCTACACCATTTCTGACAAATGGCAGTCCAATCTCTTTTTGAAGGTCTCAAGTGATGACGCTCCCACAACTTCCGAGGGCAAGTTGTTCCATTGGTTGATTGTTCTCACTGACAGAAAGTTTCTCCTTATTTCCAGGTTAAATCTCTTCTTGTTCAGTTTCCATCCATTGTTCCTTGTCTGGCCTACAGATGCTTTAGAAAATAGCTTGACAATTGGGTAGATCTCCAGGTTGCATCAAGTACAGTCGGGATGGTTTTGAAGGACCAAAGGAAGAGGTCCTATCTGGGCAGTGGTTAGATAAGTGAAGCTTGAGACCAGTCCAAGAAACTTTTTTTTCTTCTTCCTAGCATATTCCCACAGGTGCAGGATCCACTGTTCAGATCATTGAATGCCACTTTGCATGGTCAGCTGCGTCTCCAGGGTGCAGGCCCATGACTTGCATATCTTTGTTGATGCTGTGTTGCTCGCTCTGTTTGGTTGCCCACGAGGTCACCAGCCATTGACTTCTAGTTTGTAGGCAGTCTTAGCCATGGTGGAAGGTGCTGCTATTTGGACATGTCCATATCAGCAAAGTTGGCCTTCTCTCATCTTCTCTATAATTGGTGCCATCCCAAAATATTGTTGAATGGTGTCATTTGTGATGTGATCAAGAAGGGAGATGCCTAATATCCAATGGAGCATTCACATTTCCCTGGCATGGAGAAAGCTTTCGATCCCAGTCAAGGAACTAACTTAAGTAAACATCTCAGACAAGTCCCTGCTTAGTTCACACAAAAATAAAGTGTGTGAAAACCTGACCTGTATAGCATTGGCTCCTGAGCTATACAGCATTGGGTTTTTTAAGTTTCATATGTCCTATTGGGCTGACAGGTTGTATGCACCAGCAGAGCCAAAACAAGTTACATTGACTGTTCCCCAATAAGGCCAAGGATTTATTTGTTTGTTTGTTTATAAAATTTATTGACAGCTCATCTTGTAACTGAGCAGCTCACAGATATATTGGTATACAAAAGATCCAATGGCTCCCTAGGACACACCATCTACCAGAAGAAAACACATACTAACCGCTATCTACATGCACTCTCACACCACCACCCAGCACAGATCAATTCCGTAGCCAAGACACTCATCTCCAGAACAAAATGCTTAGCCGATGAACAACACCAAAAAACCGAACTACACACTCTCACCAACGTACTTACAGCCAATGGATTCCAAAGAAAGAAGATTACCCACCTAATCCAAAAAGAAACCCCAACCAAAATCCAAGACAGAGAACAAGAAAACGGCAAAGCCCTCCTCCCATATATAAAAGGCACTACAGACAAAATTAGCAAGATCCTCCAAAAACACAACATCAAAACAGCATTCTGCACAAACAGAAAAATATCCACCATCCTAAGAAACCCCAAAGACAAAATCGAATTAGAAAACCAAGGAGTATA